GACAATACTACGTCACTTAGGTGGGAAGCACACAACTTACAACAGCACACCCATACACCCATAAACCCCACACACGATCTGCAGTTATTCGGCTCCCTCCAAAAGACGAAGCTTCCTCAACTGCTCCATACGCTTTGTTTTACACATCACGTTTGGCCACACCTAACTAATCAGACAGCTTGCAGTTAAAGTCCTGTCTAGGAAACGGGAGCACGTGATGGGCACGTAGACCACATATCGCCTAAGCCATGATACTGTTTAATCAGCTTTATCCATTTCCAGTGGTACAACAAAACCGTACTTAAGTTATGCTCTTTCATACCTGTGTTGATCATGTGAGTTCCTTTAAACTCAACATTTTCCGGAAGAGTTTCTTGGATACACTTCGGAATTTCTACAAACTCCCTATTCCTTGAGAATGAAAGATTATCAATCCAGGCTTTTAAATCTAATTCCTTCTGTGTGTTTAACTCGTGGAATTCTGTTTGCATGATATCCATTCGATCCAACGAGTCCCCGCTGGTCCACCGACGTTAACTGGTGAAGAACGGACAGAGGATTAACCACAAAAGTGGAATACCTGATCCTTGTATTTGTAACATAGCGTAGGACTATCAGAGAACCTATCTAGAAGTAGTTCTTTTCAAATATACGTGGAAGATCAAAACTTTACCTTTTCGGGCACCTAATAATGCTGCTTCCAACTCTAATCTCAACACAATAACTAGGTTTATAGGCGCGAACCTAGCCTTACTATGAAGCAAAACGCTGTCCAGAAGTTTGTGCTTGAGGACGATTCACGAGTAAACCACCACACCTGTGGTATCTTAAAAGCTAATTTCTTGATATACCGCGTACAACAGAGCACTAGAACACCCAAAACCACTCCAAGTCGCAAGAAGAATACAAAAGACTAACGAGAGGAATATTATTTCAACAGTGTTCATTATAGTACAAAATTGCCAGGTATTTATATTTTTTAGTAAGAACGAAATCATCATTACAGTCCACCAGTCCGCATTCATGGGGTTATTAGCATTGACCAATCAGGGAGCTACACGTCGGAATTCTAGAATATTCTTCTGAAAGGTGATTGGATGGAATATCTTCGGTTCATTCTGAGCCTCCTACAGCTTCCTCGAGTCCACTCGTGGTCCGTCGTCACAACACTGGAAGGCATCGGAAAACAAACGTGATTCAATCATTCCACAGTTCTCTCCGTTTTCACTTCTAACACAAAAGGGAATGTTGATCTTCCCGAGCTTCTGCTCAAACTTAATCCAATTGTCTAATGTTGACACATTGCTAACACTCAGTATCTGGTCGCAAACAATGTGTAGTTTATAAAGGTTCTGTAAGAGTTGCTCAGCGTGAAGGTATATCTGGGCTTGGTTATTTATTCTCTGAAGAAGTGATTTACACTAAGTCACGAAACGTCAGAAAATCCGATTTTCTACTCATTGGAATATTACAAATATACTATTTATATTTATAACAATCACCCCAATGCTCAATATATTTGAAATTATCAAATCAAACCTTGGTAATGACACCTACTGTATATCTGAGCGATTGTCGCAGTGCATCGAATGGAGATAAAGCGGCGGATCGTATTCCTCTCCAGATCATAGGATTTTCCTCGGGTCGAGCAGGAAATTAGATACATCGTGGGTGGTGTCCAACTCAATTCCTATGGTTTGGTGAGTGGACCCTTGGTTCAAAGGCATATCAACTACCGTCTCTGTACGATCGGATTGTAGAACAACTTACATCACCAGTTCTCAGTTGGTTACCGACTCTTTCAACTTGGAACTTTCTTCAACCACCAATTGTTTCAATCGTACCACAAATGTTTTCAGATCTTCATTTTTGGGGAAGGATACTAACAAATCGTTCAGGTAAAAGTTATGCGGCACCGACTCCACTATGTTGCTGTCATAGCCCTTACAGATTTTTTGAAATGTCCATACCAGTTCAAAATTTGGGCAGAATGTTGAAAATGTTGCCCCAAAGGGGGGTAATGACATGATATTCCATAGGTTCGTTTGTGAGACCACCCTCTGCCACTAGGGGAAACGTAGTGCTCTGTGGTGGACCTTTGAGGCATCTGCTGGCATGAACATTTCTTCTGCATTAACAGATGCGACAACCGGTTCCTTGAGGTACCCAACTAAATTTGCTGTCGCATCTGGTCCTTGGTAGAGATGGTTGTTTGAAGGTTTACCAGAAACCTTAGCAACATAACTTTATGTCACTCTCACTTTCCTTGGTTTCTAAGTGTTATTCATAGCATGATGGGACAAATAACATCATGGTTGATAGCTCGTATACATTTGCAAACCTGGAACTCTGTTAGCACGCCGTTTTTCAATAATCTACCGCATGGAACGGGCGTAGCTTTCATGTAAGTCTTTGTAGCTTACAAGTAGACGTCTCAAATTTTTTAATCTTCGTTTAGCTGGGGCTTAACTCTCAGAAACCACATTTCTTCCTACCTTCCAAGGTAAATGAACTACCCAGTGACTTTCATCAAAATAAGCTTCCTAATCTACTACTATAATTGTTTTTAAATCATTCAAAAATAATGATTTTTAAGATGAATGGATGTCAGCAAACTCATGGTTATATACTCTTTAACTTCTCTACAGGATCGTCAGTTTGAGAAAAATCATTAACAATGTTTTTTATTATGCTTGTTATTATTATTATTATTATTATTATTCACAAACATCTTATGGGTACATAAGTGGTGTAGCCTGCCGGTCTAAAGAGAACACACCTTAGCAGTGTACTACTAGCATAAGCACCTTTTCTTTTACGTAATATTCAGTCTAGGATCAAATGTGCTTCAGACACTTTACAACCAACAAGGAATATGATTTCGCCGCCCATTAACTCTGACTATGATAAATCCGCAAGATTAGGCCAGTTTTTGGCAGTGTTCATCACAGGTTTTTTGGTCTGTGAACCGGCAAGTCATCCACCATAACAACCTGTCCAATAAATATACATTTTTTTCTACCTTGTGAGTAAACTCAAAGAGCTTTGATTGTCGATCTGGCCAACTTATTTCCGCTTACCGGTAATCGTCGCACTCTCCGATGATAATCATGAAAATCGTACAGTATTTGACTTGATTAGGATAACATCTGAGCCATCTTTTAGAAAGGCATATCCACAAACTTCACTGTCTCTATGCTTGAAGCATATAAGGATTAGACCTAAAAACACAGGCTCTATTAGTGACTCTGTGTACCCACAACGACTTTCTTAAGATCACTGACTCGGAGTGCCCCAAATCCTCATGGGTCTGCGTAACAACGGGTGATGCTGATCCAGACAATATTCGATATTACACACTCTTATTGAATTGTTCTGAAGGAGGCTGGAAGGTTACTTTAGTTCAATAGGTAGTAGATGGGATCAATCTAGGTGCTACACTTCAATCACATCTTTTACTGACCAATTTGTTTTTCCTCTTCTTGTGAAGGAAATGTAACAGGGACCACGCCTTTACGTAACCACTAGTTCGTATCAGCTACTCAAACGCATATACCGAGTAACCAACAATTCACTAAATCTGCTAAACAAATTTGAAGTTGAAGCTTGAAATATGTAATCCTGTACTCTGGATTGAGGCCGCGTGTTTTGTTAGTGTTTGTTGACACTATCAACTTCTTGTTTGTATTATCATATTGTCTTAATCTCACGCTTGTGTTACTTGTGTTTGTTTGCATTCGTTTTCTTAATTAAGTTTAAGTGCATTCTTTGCGTATGCTGAGTGGTAGATTATCTGTAGCCCACTGCTCCTCTCACTTCCCCTGCACACAAGGTATCTTCAGGTTAAACTCAAACCTACCAAAGACGCAACTTCATATGTGTAATGGACTTTAAATCTCATCCTGGTACTTCCGGTCATGATTGTCGAATTGTTTTGGTCGCTCGCTACCACTGATTGTTATCGATTAGCTCATTACTAAATGTGAGTGCATTTTATTCTCTTCTTGAATCTTCAGCCCACATCTGTTATTCTCTTGAGGATGAATGTGCAAAAGTCTAGACTCAACACAACCCACTATATATTCGTGTAAGTCTATTTCAATCCGAGAATCTTAATGCTTGAAATGTGAGGATGGTCCTACGTTATTATGGCTTGCAGTATAAGATCTATATGGAATAGCAGCACTGCAATGTAGTAATGGAGTGTTACGCTTTCAAAAATAAAAACCGTCAGTGAATGAGTAGTGTTATCTTAATAAGAATCTTCCATAGTTCACTATCTTAGTGGCTTCCACATTTCCTGACGTAGGTATTGTGAGAAAGTGATGAAAAATTAGTCAGTTTGTGAAATGGTCTTTTATGTTTGTAGTTCACTGTCCATAAATTTCCGGATAATATATTTAGTAGCACACTGAATAGTTGAAGCTGGTATAACAAGGAGTTGAAATGGTTTGTAATTTTCCTCAGATGTTCTATTTTTTTATTAGGCTCAAGTAAAAGCTGTTACTGTGATGGCCAGACGATAATTTATGGACTACCTTTGAGCGATGTTTAGGTGGCCTTAAAACCATCCACCTTCTTGCTGGCGTTAAACGAAGGTTGCGAATTAATGTGGGAAATGGGAGTTAAAGTTTTCACGAACCGACATCAACTGTATGTTCAAAACACCATTCATCTCTATGGATGAATTAATTTGGCGCCAAAGTCCAAGACCTATTTTAAGTCTGATTAGTTCGTCTATAAACTGTAGTCTTGCCATCAAGATACTATACTAAACTATAACAAATCGTTTGTTCTGGTCTTTTTGTTTCATTTCTTTTTATAAATAAGCCATTTTAAATTTATTAAGGACGCCGTAATTTTCTGATGTATTTTGATATTTTATTTTCCACGTTTTAAACCAATAAGTTTATCTTTCATCTTTTTTCAGCTTCCTTATCAACCAGATCTATATCATTTCATGCTAACATCTAAACTGGTGAATATTTTTGACAATTCAAATGAGTCGTGTCTTAAGATCTAGTATCAGAGAAAATAAGTCAGAACAAGTCGTACCTCGGAAACAACGAAGTGAAAGAGTTTTTTCTGTAATCCCCTCAGTATCTTCCAGCTCAACGGAAACTCCAGGAAGTCGTCTCACTCAGCGAAGACGACCGAGTCCCCCTGATTCTTGTAGAAACGTAGCATCTATCGGTTGTGAATCTTTTAACTTAAGAGATCAAGGCAATATATCGGATAAATCGAATACTTCCCTTGACGATCCAAAAGAAACCCATCCACCTGTGGTATTTGATTCACATATTACACAATGTAAGGTCAATTCCTCAGCCAACTCTGCAACTCAGGTTGCAGAATCTAGTCCACTGATCGTTGGAAGAGCAAATGAGATCAGTCGTTTGACATCTCTGATTCAGTCTTGTATAGACACGAAGAAAAGTGCTAGTTTCTATGTAAGTGGGGCCCCAGGAACTGGAAAAACAGCAGTTGTTCTGAATGTTGTTCAAAATTTTAAAACGTTTGGCAGATGTAATACTGCTGTGATTAATTGTATGCAATTAACGTCATGTGCAGATATTTTTGGACGAATATCTACCGTTTTAGAAGCTCACAATGGCAAGGAAAATAATTCTATTAGCGATGCTGATTCATTGGAATGCTTTTTGAATCAACAACCACAAAAAAAGACCATTATCCTAGTTCTAGATGAAGTGGATCAGTTATCTACGCGTAGTCAGAAGTTACTCTACAGGTGGTTTTATTTCCCGTAACTCTCAGAATATTTTGTTAGTGTTCTATTTTTAATTGCAGTAACTTTATATTAATCTAAATAGATAAAAGTTAGTTCCCACCATAATCAGTCAGATGACACAATCATCTATCGGTAATTTTTAATTCATCATGACGATATGAAGTTGTTCAGTCGTTGTTGTCCTATATTTCTTGACTATCCATGAATTCCGCTTCATGGTTTTATTTTTTTATCCTAGTGTTGCACCAGTTTGTTAATTTCAGCCCATCGCTTTTGTTTTCCTTTCGTGCTGGTTTTCGCATTCCGCACATTAAACCAATCCATATTTGTCCTGTGTTATACCTTGCTTCTGTTGAATGAAGGTTTCATCTGATTAGTTTTTTCCATACTTAAGAAAAATGAAAATTTGGTGTAAGAGATTTCATTCGTAACTTGTAAGTATGTACTTTTATTCTTGTGGATTCATTGTCTTAACGTACTTTAATTGTAAGACTTGTGGCATATTCAGTGCCCAAATAAAAGTGTAGTGTGGCACTAAAACGATCCTAGTTAAAACCCTTTTAACCAGGTCTTATAATACTATTAAATTTTTTAAAATTAGGACGACTCACGAATTCGTATATTTTCATGGCTATTTTGTGAATTATCGACTTCCCCGTTATCATTAATGAAACGTCCGCGTTTTATAACTACACTTACCTTCTAGAATTTTCGAATGGCCATCAAAACTTACTTGTCACACCATTGTTATTGGAGTAGCAAATGCCTTAGATTTACCAGAACGTTTGCTGTCACGTTTGAAATCAAAAGTTTACAAACCTATTCATATTATATTTCAACCATATTCACAATCTGAGCTTGCTGAAATTGTCCAAGCTCATTTATCCAAATCATCAAGTCGTGGACCATGTATAGAAGCTCTTGCTATACAACTATGTTCTAGAAAAGTGAGCTATTTGATTTGTAATATTTCAGATTATTTACTATTTACGCAAGCCTTGTGAGTTTTCCTATAAAGTAATCATCAATAGGAGTGAAGGTTTCACTAGGTTACGCTAAAATGCGTACATTACATCAGGATTCATTTAAATCTGATAGTCAACTGTTATATTCCAAATATGTGGTGCGGTATTGATTGGGTCTCTACAAGATATGAACTTTTTAGTTGTGGTAGGAGTGGATACTGGTCGTTATCGTCGTACTAAGACCAAGCTTTTCTCAAGGTCTCGGTTTCCAGTTTTTCTTTTTTTCGTGTTAGTGTGTAAGGCGATCAGTTTTGGGCTGCACAGTACTCCTCATTTTGTGTTTTGCTCCTAAATTGGTGACGTATTTCAGCAGTGTAACTAGTTGTCTTTTGTGAAGTGTATAAAATGAATTACAAAGCTCTATGACTCTGGATCACCTCCAAATGTCCTCGTACGGTCGAGGGTGGGGAGAGTCAGCTCTCCCTCTTGAAATGCTCTAACATGGCCACGCATATACAGCCACTGCCAGGCAAGTCCTACTCGTTGCCTTCTCGCGGCGGATCCACCTAGAGGAGTTGGAAAACCCTGATTCCAAACCAATGGTGCACATGGGCTCCAGTACCCTGAGAGAACAAATGGCGTATGAACTAATTGTTGGTAGCCGGCTACAATCGGACTTCATCTCTTGGCGTCGCTCCACTGCCTTGTGGACCAGACCTTTAGGTCGAAGGCTCCGGGTGTGGCCACTTAAGAAAACCACCTGCTTCGGTCTGGGCGCTCGGGCAGTATCGCAGCCCACACACAAATCAAGTGACTTGTGTGGCGCATTTGTATTCGGTGCCCCTTTGTATCAATATTCATGTGTTAAAATAAGTAAATGGCTGTGGATTATAAGGGTTAAAACTAACAGATTCAAGAGAAAAAATAATGGTGATTACATATGTCGAGAATGTTAAACACATTTCGTGAGCTACCAGCTTAGTGCTATATATATAACTTAACCTACATGTTCAAGTGCCATATCACTTATCAATATTCGAATACTCATTTCATATCGTTAGCAATATTTCTGTATCACAATTTAACACGTTAGTTTTACTAGTATAGATGTTAAGACGTTTGAAAGATTTTTATTCTCACTGGAATATTCTGAATATATTTGAGCAGGAAGTATGTACATGCTTTGAATACCTTGATTAAAAATAAATTACTTCCATGCGTGGTAACTACTTAAGAGAAATTATCATTTATTAGTTGTTTTTTTATTACTTATGTAGCTTTTATTAATCTATTGAAGTTTGTTGTAAAATATCCTAAAACAAAACTATTTTTGAAGAACATATGTAATAGATTTACCTTACTGTATAAGTAACTCATTACTTGAAGAGTTCAGTGACATTTAATATGAAATATTCCCTTCGAACACTAATCACTGCTCTTAGGGAAAAGCAACTGTTTTTAAATTGCAATATAGTGTTAGGTTATAGTTTACTTTTCTTTCCAGTAACATGTATTAATGTTGTCAGCATATTTAATTTAGATTGCTGCTTCTACAGGGGATGCACGTACTGCACTAGATATATGTCGCAGGGCGATTGATTTAGCCCATCAAGATGCTCGGATGAAAAACATATCTGACGCGTTTATTCCTCAAAAGGTGGCGGCTGATTCTCACATCACACCTTCCATCCAGCATATAAGTAGGGCTTTAAAGGAATCTCAGGTGAGTACTGTAGTTTCGTAGTAAGTAATGTTGGAAGTGTATTTTGAGACTATTAACAAACTATGGAGATATATAGTACAGACTAAGTCATCTAAATGTTTTTTTTAGAAATAAGACGCCGAACACTTCGACCTCTTGATAGAGCTTGCTCGTTTGTCTACCAGATATAAAGCAATGTAATACAGTAATATTTGCTAGGTAGTGTTTTGGGCAAAATAAATCGCCTATCATCATATCGCTATTGGGTCTTAAATTCGACATTATGAAATTATTGCTTACTATCATCTGTTACGCCTTGTTTTGAAACGGTGTAGTTCTCATTCCTATACGTGACCATTAAATTTTGTTCATGCAGCGGTTAAACATAGTTCGCTATTTCCATTACGACCCACATCTACACCCGAATTTTGTTGGTCACTACCTGGATTGATGTAGCTTTGTTTGTTGATACGTCCAGCCACTTTATTTTCTGTTTTACTAGGGTTCGGCTTGGATAAAACTAGCAGCACCTTGTATTTATTAAGTGTTTAACTCATATCAAACATTCTGTTTTCTTATAATTTGTTAGTACATCTGCTTGTCAAGATCATATTATATGTTTACTGTAGACAGTTCCCAAGTTTTCTGGATGGAGGTTCATTGCAAAGGAAGTTTAAAGCAGACGTTACTTTTCCCGTCATCTGTAACAAAACCGGCTAAAATAGTAAAGACAAAGGTTCATAGCTACTGCCAGCAGTTTCAGTCTACTTAGATAAACGCTTTTCATTAGTTCCTTTGCGCTAGAGTAATTTAGTAATTAGATGTTTATCATACAATCCAAAAGATATAGACACAATGCTTTAATCAATAGGTAGCACTTATAGACCAAATATGATCTTAAAATCGTTAAATCAGTTCACATAAATATTACTTTCATATTTAGTCGTCTGAATTTGTCCTTTTTGTCTAACATCTGTATTGTCTTTGTGTTATATCTCAGGGTAATTCGAGTTAATCTTTTTTTCATTCTTATCAGGTTGATTCTCCTCTTCCTGTTAAATCGTTTACTGGCGTTAATACATTTACCACTAATGGCTCTGAGCTGCCATTACACCATAAACTTCTACTGGCTAGCTGTCTTCTGTTAAGAAAACAAAAAGGTTTACGTGAATTATCGTTTAGCCTACTTTACGATACGTACATTCTTATATGTAAGAAAAAACAAATTACAAGTTTAAATGAATCTGAACTCTCCGCTGTATGCGATCTTCTTGATTCTCGTGGATTTATTCAACTTACTGGTCCGCGTTACTCAGTTAAAGCTACAGTGGGTACACCAGCACGTTTAAGACGTATCCGATTACGTTTAGATGATTGTGGTGTCCAACAAGCTTTGATGGACGATTTCCTGCTGTCATCAGTAATGGATATAAAATTACAAAAGTAATTTTATATTTAATCATAATTTATCTGTATATATTTATCTATATGTTTCACTGTTGAACTAATCAAACACGCTCTTATTTCGTATAATTTTTCCCATGTAAGTGTTTCGACCTAAATTCGACAGTGTTTGTTTTCATTACAGATGAGATCATATTTTTAAACTTATGAAAGTCCTTGACAATTATTTTTGTAATCTATGCACTTATGAAATATAAAGATGTCTTATCTGTTCTCCAATATGTTTAAAAAGATTTTTTCGGTAACTAATATAACTAAAAAGTTACTTTCGTCTGGTATGCATGGAAAACGATGAATATTTAAATGTAACTAAAAGATAAGCAAGTATAATATAAAATAAGAGATAAATTAAACTACAATAATAGAATGTTCAAATATTTGGAATTTGATTGAATTCTCATTTTTCACCAATCTTGCTGCTTAAAGTTGATTTCTACATACTGAGTGAAAAAAATAACCAAAGATATCCGACTCATCAGTCAGCTGCGACGTATTTCCAGACATATATATGCATCTGTCCAAGTTGCCATACGTCATTAGCACAAAAGGCTGAACACCGAATTCATAGAAGTAGTTACTTGATTGGTGGTAATATATAAAAGAATGATCGCTTATAAGGAGATAGTACAGAAAAAAGAATTAGTTGGTAGAAAGAAAGATATACAGTAATTTTAGTCTCTTAGTTTAAGAGAAGACAGAGAGTGTATACACCGACGCCACTGTAATCAATTCTGAGCCATGTCACTCAGAGTCTCCGACCATTGATTAGGATAGTCATGCCGACCCAAACCAAGTAGTCTGCATCTACCAACACGGCCAAGAATAGAAGTTAGCGACTTTAAGCACTGGTGCCACGTTTTGGTTTGGCCACCCTTAACTTTCTTCTAGCCGTCCCTAACACTAGTCAGCATTGCGCGTCGTGGCAATCGGTGTTCAGGCATACGTAACACGTGGCCCAACCATCTCAGTCGATGAAGATTCACAACTTCACCAACTGATTTTCCATCATTCTCTAATACCCTTCGTCTAACCTCGCCATTACTTACCCGATGATCTCAGCAGACGCGAGCAACATTTATGAGACATGTGATCAAATACTAGTAGCTTACGAATATCTTCTACCCTTAAGGGCCACATTTCGCAGCCGTAAATCAGAAAAGAACGAATGGCCGCGTAGTATACTTGTCTGTCAATTGAAAATAGTTCTTGCTGGTACAGATTCTCATTCCCTCCGGAAAATTTCCTATGAGCAAGCGACCTTGTAAAGTCGGGGCAGGATAGGGAGAATGAGTGAATAGATTTTTAATTAATATTTCATCAATTAGCAGTTACACAAATTTACTAAGCTTTATAGTTTGGTTGAGATTGATAGTTTCGTAAGTGAAATGTGCTTGATAATGGAAATAATCACGTGACTGCATAAATAGGTTATCACAGTAGACTTCGTTATCAAGCCATAATTACTAACTGGATAGCCCATAAAGTCAAGTTCGAAACCAATATCTAATGTCTTTATTGCAAGCTTTTGTAAACTATTTGAGTTTACAGGCCCTGAACAGGTAACGGGTTTAGTTAGCAGCTTCGACAAGTTATTACTGTTAAAATCACTCACAAAATGGAATTTAATAATTTTAAACGCTTAATGAACTGCTTTAGGGTAACTGAGAGTTCATTACTTTAACTTTTTTTACAGTGGACTCTACCTCCTGAAATTCTTGACAAGGGTATTTCGCAAATATAAATCTGCCATTGTTATTTGTCTTGACTAAATTCATTTAATGTTGCTATAAATTCTTAGCCTCTTACCGGTTATGAAAAAAGAAGCTAATACCAATCCGAACAGCAACAACATATAATCAACAAATCCATATATTATTTTGGTATATTTACGTTATTTTTTCTTCAATTGCTATAACTATATGTGAAGGTACTCATGGAGTAGTTCGTTTTCCAACCATTTATGTCTGCAAAACCGCATAAAACGACATCCCATGTTACTACTCTAATCAGAAATTTAGTTGTTTGCTTCACTGCAAAGCCTTAATAGAACACATACAAAATCTCTTGCTTATCGGATTTAGTGCCCATTTCTTTTGGTTACAACACGGCTCACTCATTTGATGACAAACACACGCCAGCTTCATTGACAGGTGAAACATGATATTTTGCATTAACGATTACAATTTCGTATTGAAGATCTCCCTTTAAACAAAAGTGAAGAATTATCTGTTGTTTAAATGTAGAAAGCGGTAATTAAGAATTATCAAGCCTCGCTAACGTGCTTTCTTGTTGGACTGAATACGGCTGGGTTTACAATTGGTCTTACTTTTTACATACGTTCGTGATCCTCTGTTTTTAAATGGAGTATTTATGTATGGTGGGATGATTACATGTCACAGTATTGAACCATTAAGTCTATCTCAAGATAGTACTGGAATTTGGTAGCTAACGTGTATCTGAGCTATTGCTTCCGCAACATCAGCATCCATAAACTATATTTACAATACAAAGTGATATGTGAAACAACAAACGAAGTTATTTATAGCAAATACAATCAAAAGGTTTCCTAAAAGTAGACTGTGTGGATCATAGTTGGTTTATCCGAACATAATAGACACGCAGAAGCCGGATCTACCAAGAAGACGTAATGATTTATATTCACTCCTCTAAAGCCATTGAACCAAGAAGTGTTGTGGAGCATGAATCATAAAACACACGAACTTCACCTTCATTCCTCTCGTCAAGGCCAAAGTTTATTGATAGAAGATGCGAGACAGAATTTCTGTAGTCCCCGTCTGAATGAACGTCCTCTATCGTGAACTCACCATGTGAATCTTCGAGGCGACGACACGCTGAGACCCTCACATTTTTTCGAAGTCGTTTATTTTCCTTAGCGGGGCATTCAGTTCTTAAGTTACCTATACTATCAAACCAAGTAGTTGGACCGCGATTTGTCATCTAACTTTCAAAATAGTCCTTAAAGGAAGGTGAGACGCCCAATGTCCAATACCTTGTCACTAGCTGATTTCCTTGCGCCATATGTTGAAGTACGGTTAGTTATTTAAACATGTAGATGTATGAATATTAAAATAGGCAAAGTCAGCTAAATAAATGACAACTTATATTAAGCTTGATGTGTATTGATACGTAATTGTAAAATATAAATCTCTAAATGCAGTATGATAGAGTTAACGGATTAAAAAACATCGTGTATGTTCGCATAATTTGCTCTCTCTCCGAGTGAAAGTATATGAACCACGAGTAACTTCATTATAATCGACCCTCTAAAATGGTAGCGTTCCGAAATTAACAAAACAATTGTAAACAAAAACTACTCCCGTTCTGTTGTATCGGTTTTCGGGCGTTTGTTAGTTGATTAAAACATCGGGCTTTACAGAGAACAGATTTGTGTATTCCTACACTACTGACTGTTGTAAACAGATAACCAATTATTTCTATGGCAAGGATAGACTTGGCGTGATGCATCTCCATTGCTCAAAGCTCCTGATTGGGCTATTCACACACGTCTCATCAATAAGCTTAAGTAGCCTCAGGCATTCAGAAATGACAGAGTGAAAAGATATATTTAGCAGGTCTCGAGAAATGTTCAATATAATCTGCCTAACAGTTGCAAGATATACGTAATATGGATACCTATTTATGATAAAGTGTGATGCGTGCCCGAAAGCATCCAACTACGTAGTATCCAGCAAAACTAATGAGGTCAGCGTGAGTGTTGAAGAAATACACAACTATTTATTTTGATGATATTTTATACTTCTTTGTGTATCATGTCACTACTAATATAATAGTTCGATTCATATCTAGATAGTCGAAACATAAAGTTCACTGTATTTGCACCTTTTCGCACACTACGAAATATCCTAGTGGGATCGTCCAGGGTTCAATAGTATTATCTCTACTATGTTTGATTTTACGAAATGATCGTATTATCAACCTAAAGTGAAATTAATAATTTTCCGTGATGATATTGATCATTGGGGAGCAATTTGAACCTGGATGATAAGTTAGGAATTAAGGTGTGTCTTACATATGTTTAAAAACAGACAGATAACTGAATACGTACTCTCAAAGCGTCAAAATGTAATGTAGTCCATCTAAATTGAACCTACGACTAAGGTTTCATCCTTTAGCGCTATATCAGTTTGAAAAGTAACCAAGAATGTTGCTATTCTATTGCTGAACTTTGACGCTAACTGTGGAAAAGTGCATTTCGAGATGAAGCGGTAAGTAAGTCCCCAAAATAAATAGCTCTGTAACTCTTCGATGTTGGATGCCGACAACATTAGTTTCAATGGACTCACCTAGCTGAAGGCCCTCGGTCGTGCATCCGCACCAGATCACGTGTGGGAACGCCGAGCTCAACAACCACTGCAATCGCTAACCAGATTAGATCAGACTATCGTCGATATACTGATAGCTTATCAAATATATTTTCCAACCTTTTCGCTCCTGTCTTTTGATTTCACTTGGTGGGTACGATTCATAGTGGAAGGTGTTACTGGTTAAAGCGTTGTCAAACTCCGAATACCTATGTCATCTTGTGAGTAAATCTTTCGCTGGTAATGTTCAAGCGCATTTCGGCGAGCTCAAAAGTAGAATTTTTCACCTCATCTTCAGCATTTCAAATCGACCTTATTTAGAATTTGGAAATATGGTTTTTCTACTCTAACTTCAAAGGGATATTAATAAACTGGGATGTCTTAAACGGCGAGTTGCGAATTCTGTTCCAGGACACAAAATTGAACTTTATTAGGAGCAGTTCAAATCACTGAATCTTTACTCGTTAGACTACAGCCGTCTCGAAGGTGAACTCTTGATAACTTGTATTATGTTAAACGCTCCTGGGCATCTTCTAAGATATCTACTTAAGCTTACTCACTCTGCAGTTGAACTACAATTTGTCTCATATGTGTCTCAGCATAATACAATGGTTCTTTTACTGTTCTGTTCAAGTTTCAC